AATACACCCACTGGCACCCCCGGCGTCAGGCCCGGTGACTGCAGCCATGGCCACGGGCTTGGCCGTTAATGGGAAAGGTACGTCTCCGTTCATGGATGCGCTCACAGCCAATGGAACAGCCAACATACAGACACCTGTTACAGGAGTGACAGCCGGGAAAAGGAAATTTATTGACGACAGAAGAGACCAGCCTTTTGACAAGCGGCTGCGTTTCAGTGTGAGGCAAACAGAAAGTGCCTACAGATACAGAGATAGTGTCGTCAGGAAGCAGGATGGCTTCACCCACATCTTGTTGTCCACAAAATCATCAGAGAATAACTCACTAAATCCAGAGGTCATGAAAGAAGTCCAGAGCGCCCTGAACACGGCCGCTGCCGACGACAGCAAGCTGGTGCTGCTCAGCGCAGTGGGTAGCGTCTTCTGCTGTGGGCTCGACTTTATTTATTTCATTCGGCGTCTCACAGATGACCGGAAAAGAGAAAGCACCAAGATGGCCGAGGCTATCAGAAACTTCGTGAATACTTTCATTCAGTTTAAGAAGCCTATCATTGTAGCAGTAAATGGCCCAGCCATTGGTCTAGGAGCCTCCATATTGCCTCTTTGCGATGTGGTTTGGGCTAATGAAAAGGCTTGGTTTCAAACACCCTATACTACCTTCGGACAGAGTCCAGACGGCTGCTCGACCGTTATGTTCCCCAAGATTATGGGAGGAGCGTCTGCAAACGAGATGTTGCTCAGTGGACGGAAACTGACAGCTCAGGAGGCGTGTGGCAAGGGCCTGGTTTCCCAGGTGTTCTGGCCAGGGACCTTCACCCAGGAAGTCATGGTTCACATCAAGGAGCTCGCCTCGTGCAATCCAGTCGTGTTGGAGGAGTCCAAGGCCCTGGTGCGCTGTAACATGAGGTTGGAGCTGGAGCAGGCTAACGAGAGGGAGTGTGAGGTGCTGAGGAGGATCTGGGGCTCGGCACAGGGCATGGACTCCATGCTGAAGTACCTGCAGAGGAAGATCGACGAGTTCTGAGGGCGGCTGCTCAGAGCGGGACAGCCCATCCTCACGACCAGAAATGCGTCCACCTGTAGCTCATCCTCAGAAGCAGGACTGGAGACATCCAAGCTATTTATTTACGAGGGGTTTTTAAGTCCTGTACCTTTAAAATAAATAACTACAAAGCTCTTTTGTCCACACCTTACTTTATACTTCTCCACACACGAGTATAAAAACCAAGGGGTGGGCATGGACCGCTCTGGAAGCGCTTGCTTTTTGTTGCTTTTGACTAGTACTATACAAAAAGAATTGTGTTTCACTCGTTTGGGTGACAGAAGAGTCTGGAGTAATGTTTGTTTCCCTCATTCTGCTAGAAGGAATGGGAGCCAGCCTCCCCTCTGCCCCACAGAGATGCAAAGCCTGGGCTGCTGCTGTCTCCCGGGGCTGCGCGGATGCTTCAGAGGTGCAGAATTCTAAGCAGCAAGAAGCCGCCTTTGGGCAAGGCCCTGGACTCGGGCTGGCTGTCGGTGGGTCTCCCTTCTAGCAGCCCAGGTCTTACCCAGTTGACGTGAGGAAACCACTGTCTTTAGGAGGGGCTTGGCAGTAGTGGTCACTGACTAGGTTAAGAATGAGTACCTAAGTTCTAAGTTAGTTTTAGTGGGTTTTGAATAGTTTTTCTGACCCTTTTGAAAAATAACTCCATTAAGTGCTTCTTGTTGCTGGGTGAGAAATACTACTTTATATACAGTTTTGGTTTTCTATCTGCAGATATGGTTGATGTATTACACCAAAAAAAAAAGTATTTTTATGTTTATAAAGTGTAATTTTTAGGTTCACTTAGAATATATTTTATTTAATAAGTTAAAATTCTTTCTGGCACACTATTAAATACATAAATTCCTTTCCAAACAAAAAGAACTACCTTGCATTCGACCTCCTGTCCTGGCTCCCAGCCCCCGTGCACGCGGCGTGGTGCCCGCGCGGGGCCGAGAGCACCCGCTGCAGGAGCCTGGGAGTCGCCGGGCTTCTGGGTTTGCAATCACATTGAATGTATGAAGAATAAAATCAAAACCTTATTTTTGTACAGTTTTGAAGTTTATACTTAGAACTGACCGCCTCCCCGGCCACGCGGAAAGCTGTACAGTGTATAAATCTCCTTTACCTGGCATTGATTGGTACAGTATTTTTGCATCTGTGGGACCTACTTTTTCGTTCAGTAGTTTGAACTATATATAAACTGTACAATCTGTAAAGTTTTTATAGAATAAATATTCAGCTGTGAAAACTGGTTAAATAAACTAATATTTCTTAACACCTTGAAAAAAAAATTGTTAATATTCACTGCAACCGTTAAAACTTAGTACAAGGGCCATCCAAACAGCTCAGCAGATTAAAGGGACAGCAAGCAGGCATGGGGGCCGGGGGTTCAATCTCCAGGACTGCCATGCCGGCCCCATCCCCGGGCACACTCAGAGGGCAACAGAGACTGGGCATGGTGGTACATGCCTGTAATTGCAGCTCTTGTGAGGCTGCAAAATGGCACATTACAGCAAGTTTGATCTAGTAGTGAGACCCTGAACACCCTGAAGACCCTTCCCTAAAAAAACAACAAAAAAAGCATTAGTAGTAGAATCATCTTAGCTATTCTGTGTATGATCAATCATGACTTTTCTCTGAAATGTTTTAACTTTTCTCCTCTTGCTCGTAAAAATTGGTTGTTCCTTTTGCACACCTTCTTCCTCTTTTAGTCTAAGTATTATATCTTGTGCATTTTATTTACTCTTTCTTGTTCTTATAGTTCTGCCTGAAGGGCTGTGGGCACAAAGGAATCCTTCTCCTTCACTGGTGGAATTGTAGACTGCTACGATTTCTAATGAAACCAGTATGGAGAGACCTGAAAAACTAAAACTACACCTTGCATTTGACTCACTTCTTTCCCTTCTTGGACTTTGGCAGGCAGCATTGAAAGCCTCAAACCACGTGATACAAGAATACCTATATTAATAGCCTCATGGTATTCATAGAAAAAACTTTGGAATAGGCCAAATATACATCAACCAATGAATAGCTAAAGAAGATGTTGTGGTGTTATACCATAGACTGCTAATCTGCCACAAAGAAGAAATAAGCTGACACATTTCTAGTGAAGAGCAGGGGCTCGAGACTCCACCGATGAAAGACAGAAAACACACCATCACGTCCAACTAGCTCATGCTTTGTCTTCGGTGAAACAATAAAAATGTAAATAAGCAACAAATTGTCTTACAGATATGGTAAAGTTGGAAGAAAATGTTCAAACGGGAAGAGGAACTTGAGAAGAAAGGGAACAGAAGTGAGGGAAAAGAGAAAAGAGGCACTTGGAGGAATGAATGCAAACAAACTCTGTAAAGAAAAGGGGAGATTGGGTTGATGGTAAATCAATAGAAGAGAGAAAGGGGAAATATCAAGATAGATTATGAACTGGGAGAAATTCCTGATGAGGAATGAGAACATTTGCCCACCTAAAATGTATTATAAATAGTAATTCTCAAAACAATCCCCCTATTGTGTAAAACCGTTATTGTATATAAAAGACTTGATTTCAACTCCCAGATTTAAATGTTGGAGTTTTGCAAAATTTTTTCCAATTTACACTATTATTTGAGGCTTACAATTTAAAATGAAATCATCTCAGGAGGGATGTAAAACACCTGAAGGATACTTATGAGTTAGTTAACAAAATCTCTTTGGGCCCCTAAATATATTCAAACAAGGTTCTTTGGGTCCCATTTCAATGCAAAAATATCTATAAACTGTTTGCATAGTGAGCTCATACAACCTAGTTTACAACACAGTATTAATCATTGGACTCAAAGCATGATCTATTGATATTATTTTATTAATGTTGTTGTTACATAATAAAAAGTTATGGGAATTCTCAACATAGCTATGTTTAACTAAAAGTGGGAGAATGTTGGATGGCATTAGTCTGGGCATAGTTTCACAGACTAGACTCAAAAAACATATACCAAAAAGAAAATACACATATATGCATAGACGTCAAACACTATAGGGCCAAAAGAATGGCTATGGAAACAATCGTCAAATAAGAGACAACATTTGAATACCAATACACAGATAATGCCAAAAATAAAGGAGGAATTACAACAACTCACAAGCAAAATGCCAGATATATCACTTCACTGACTCCTTTCACAGAACTTGTGTTCTGGAAGTTTATATTGTAATCCATGGAAACCTTCAGGAATACTCGTGACTTATTTACAGAGCCAACTTGACAGTGAAGACATCCTTCGGGACCCATAGAGATTTTGTCCTACACTGAGAAACAAACAGTTGATCCCAGAAAGAAATAGGGCCTCTCACTGAACATAATACCAGCTTAAATGTTCACCCCTAAATTATACCTAAGTTTGTATAAAAGCTTTAATAGAGTTAGTATGCAGGGTCGACAAACTAGTACATCTCCAAGGCATAGGTACTTATGACTGAGAATGCAGATACCAGAGATCCTCCAGTGAGACAGACTCCATTAGTGCCACTATTTTCCCCAGGGATCTCCTTGGTTTCCTGCATATTCTTACCTACCTGTCGCTCATCTATGCATCATGCACCTCCAGTATGATACAGGAGTTGAAGTAGCATTCACACTGCCCAAGGGTAGAAGAGGAAAGATTGGATGCAGTTACAGATACTGAAAAGTGGTCTGCATTAATGGTATCTTAGCCATAACAGGAAACAGGCAAAATCAGGAAGGGCAGATCAGGAACTTGAAAGCCTCCTGCTACCTAAGCCCAGGGCACATTTGCATGCTGTGTGAGCCAAGAACACACCTTTACTGGCTTACTTGAATGTCCTATCTTGTAAGTGAGCTCTCACTCATGGGTAGGTGCAGACCCTGAAATCTCTGCTTGCACTTCTAGGCAAAAGCAAAAGTGCACAGGGACTGTCAGAGGGCACAGGCAAGAGCCCAGGGACAAGGGCATCTGATCCCTGCTGAGTTGAGGAGGGCCACAAATGGAACCATTCCTGACAGTGTTTTGCAACTCTCTTCCTGCTAAGATATGACCTGGGTCTCCTGGCCAGGGCATTTCTTGTGTTGACACTTAGAAGTAGTAGTTGCACTTTGGTATTCTGTTCCCCTCAGACATGACTCTCCCTATCCTAGATTCCTTTTATCAGTTACAGTAACATGAATGAAAAGAATAATGGAGCAGAAGGCTGGAATTTCACTATTCCATGTCTCTAAAACTTGTCCTTATGTGAATTCCATGCTTTCTTTTTCTGTTCTTGAGGGAAAAAGCCTAAAAAGGAAGAGAACTGTCAATGATCCTCAGGGTCTGAGCCACCAGGTTCACACCAGAGCTATAAAGTCCTGCACCTATGAGTTGACAACTCAGCTCAGTGGCATAAGCAAAAGCCTTCCAAGTGCGAGGTCCTGAGTTCAATCCCCAGTACCAGAAAATTATTTTAAAGTCCCTCATCTGTTTCCTTATTCCATATTCTCTGCCCTTCCTATCCCTATTACAGTCTTTAACACCTCAGACAACAGAAGGTAGGGGCAGTTCTCAATATACTTGTATATGACTCTTCTTCCCTTCATCCTCATCGGCTCACACTGCAGCTTCAAGGCATGGTCAGGAAGTTCCTACTCTTGGGCAGGGCCTCATTGGTGATCTAGCAAACATACTGTCCTACTCCATCCCACACCACAAGGGGAGGATCATTGTCAAACCTCTCTTATCTGTTAAAGTTCTCAAAAGCAGAGAAGTACCAGCTCATACCACAGGATTTCTCCTCCTGGAAAGAGCACAGAAGGAATGCCAGGCACGGTCTGACCACACACTTCAGGTCCTTTGCAAACTATTCAAATGTACCCATAACAGCTGGGGATTTAGCTTAGCAGCACTGTGCCTGCCAGGCAAGTGCAAGGTCATGAGTTCAATTCCTGGTACCAATTAAGAAACCAATATGTACATCAAATGTATCCATATACACCCTGTACATCCAGGTTTTGTGATGCTGTTACCTTTAAAGTTACTTTTGTTGTCTCTAAAAAGTCACACAAAATTTGTACATTGTATTTCATTCTCACACATTTCATATTATTTTCAAGTTTCTTTTATTCCTTTTTGCATTTAACAATGGGTTAAGCAAGTAAGAAGCAAATAAGCAGTGTTTAACATCCAATTGTTTCTGGTTCATTCCCTGACGTGTTCATAAGATGTATTTAAATTTTAGTTGGGTTGTAATGAGAGAGAGACTTCTCCAAATGTCATACAGGAGACTTGATCAATGGCATTGTTCACAAGTTTCTTATTCCCCATATCCACACTTTGCTTTTCAAAGGGGACCTTGAACCCACATTCTTGCCTCAGTGTGTTCCTCCCAGACTCAGGGGAGTCCCTGTGTCTCCCCATGCATTTCCTTTTGCCTTCTATCCATCAGGACCTCTGCAATTGCAGAGAAAAGTAACAAGGTCTTCTGAAAATCGAAGGAAGGGCACAAAGAAACATCCCAGGTAGGGAAATGCTCAAGGGATACACTGGGCGAGCCCCAAGAACATTCACTTGATGGTGTACAACATTCCCCAGTGAGTGATCTACAGGCCTTCTCTGAGGCAGCATCACGTGGAAAACAGTTTGGACACTTAAGTGACCTGGCAACAGTGAAGAGACAAAGGATCTAGAAGGTTGGTAGAAGTCTATCCAAATGGGAAAGTTGAGCATCTGGGGGATTTGGCACAGAATCCCTAAGGGTGTGTTTGATCCAAACATACTACAGATCCTATCTTTCCACCTCCTAGAATCTGAAAAATCCCAAAGAAAATTGGATACAAGCCATCTTTGAAGGGTATCATTTTCACACAAACCAGAAGATCCAGAGATTCAACAGATGCTGAGAAATACAGGAAAAAGATGTAGGCAAGACACGTGTGGGGCTAGGATTCGATGTCATCAAGGTTATGGGTATGTTCATTCTTAAAGAGGTTTAAGTCACACTGTTTCGGCTTCCTCTCCCTCAGCCTCAGATATGAACAAGGTTGACCACACCTACCAGAATTTCAAATTCCCCAGAGAACCGTCTCATAAAATTCCAGGAACTAACTTCAAAGCAATTATGGCACTTCTCAAAACTCAGTGTCTTCTCATGAGAATCACCTGAAAAATACTTGATAAACTCTCTGCCTTGTGAGAACCTTCTGCACTTGGGAACTTTGCTATTGTCACCTGTCCATCTGTCTGAAAGTCCTAGCGCTGTCATGGTCATGTAGCTGAGAACAACTGCTCCTTGGCCTGACACCTCAGCACAT